GGATATGAAGTTTAAATTTATTCTTTTCTTTGTACAAGAGTTATACTCCTGTATAATCTTTGCTTTGTAAGAGAGTTTAATTAAATTTTAATAAAAACAGAGACATGGTCTCACTATTAATATTCAAAACTTATTAATAATATTCATAAGTTAAAATTAGAGTTTATTATATCTTTTATAAATTTACATAATATTAAAGTTTAATCTAAAGGTTAAAAATATTTGAAAAAAATTAGAAATCAGAAATTAGTACTTATAAATTTTTTTGATCTGCAAAATTACAAAATTTTTTGCAAACTGCATTAATTGATAATTATTAATAATCAAAGCTTATAATAATAAAATAATCATACTAAGAAGTTGACAATTATTTCTAAATTTAAATTATATTCATATAATTATAAAATATGATAAAAGTATTAGAATAAATAATATTTATTATTATAGATATATTTGACTAATAATATCGAATATTAAGTTTTATTAAATTATATTATATGATTATAAACTATAATTAAAACTTGATTTTGCAAGTAAATATTTTTTTTTACTTCAGCAATTTTTTATCTTTATTTTATTAATCAAAAATAAAATACAAATATGTTCTTAGTTAGCTAGACCTACATAAAATTCATGAATTACTATATTTTTATACAAATAAAGAGTTTCTTGATCTGTCTTATTATCACAATAAAAAGTAAACTACTAAATTTTATGCTTAAGTATAATCTAAGAGTAATCTATCTAAGTGAATAATTTTCCTCTTTTTAAGATCTTCAACTTTCTGAAAATGTAAGCCTTAGCTATTAATACTTTTATTGACCTTGTCAAAATTACTGCCCTACAATAGAGTGCTGCCAATATGATGATACTTTTTTTGTAGAGAAGTAAAAAAGAAAAAAAAGAAGAATACAATGAAAAGGGACAAGTAAGAACAAACTTATAAAGAAAATAATCAAATTATAAAGGAATCTAAAAATTAAAAAAATAGATATTCTATAGAACAGGTGAGCAAACTTCACAAACTCTGCAACTCTGATATTAAAAATTAATAATTACTAATTATTAGTGAAGCTTATTTCTTATATTGCCCACCTATTTTATAGAATATCTAAAAAAACTTGTCTACAGATATAAAAACCTGCTAACCAAGTAAAAAAATATCTACATAGTAATAAAAATTCTATATATAAAGCTATATAATAAAACAAATATGAACTAAAATATACTTTAACTTATGCTAAGAATTAAAAATTATATTATATAACTTCAGAATATTGTTTATCTTAAATACATTACTCTAGTTTACAACTCTACTTCAAATCCTAGAATGTTGATTTTAAAGTATTAATATATAATTAATGATTCTGAAATAACTCTTCTCAGAACAATTCTTCTTATAGTTCTTCACTTCAGACTTTGCTTATATACTATACAAAATTAAATAATAAGTTTCTTTTTTAATTATCTAATTATCAGAAGCTACTTCATATAGTACATTTCAAAAGAGTACTCATTTTTGATAGTTAAAATCTAATCTAAACACTACTTGATATATTTTAAATTATCTAATTAAAACTTTATTCTTATATAAGCTTATTATATTCCTTATTTGTCATATTATAACTTAAAATTTTTGGAAAATAAAAGTAATAAACAATGCTAATCTTTTGAAAAGAGTAACCAAATCCTCTACTTTTTGATAAAAATTATAAAAAAAAGAATATTAGAGAAATATTATAGTTTTGTGAGTTTTTAACTAAAAAATATGGGTTTAAAAATTTTTCACAACCTTCAATCTCTAAACAAACTTAAATTTTCTTTTACTTGCTGTTTTTAGAGATTTCTCAAGTTAAATACCAAATATATAGAGAGTCTACTTTGTAATAAAAGATTAAAACAAAGCTTGATCTTTAAGAAAACTATCTAAAACATCTGCTTCTTAGTATATTATATTTAGAGACTTTATTAACAACAGTTTATATAAAGAAAACTTCAAGTTGTTGTTAACTTCTGGTTTTGAGTCATTAATTTGTTTTTAGTAACTGGTTGGTACAAGTAATCATCAGAAAGAGTTAATTTTTATTGTAAGTAAATATATTATTAATTATCAAATAGCAAAAAAAATTGTATAGTTTTAAAATAAGCTAGTCTAATATACTAAAATAAGTTTTATTAATTTGCAAAATAAGTTTATTATTATATATAATTGAGATTAAAATAAATATATTTTAAAAATAGTTCTGTCAATATAATGCAAACTAATTAATAATAAGAAAATATAAATAACAGAATTTAGTAATATTATGAAAATATCAGAAAAGGTAACAATTTTGTTGTGATATAACTTGCTTTTTGTAGCAAAATTTAATAATATAGATATTAAATTTGTCTTTTTTTATTTATAGCTTAGTCTTGTATTAATTTTATTAAGGTTAGTAATTCCTGTTTGCAAAAAGTAATTTATATTATATACTTTCTTGTATTTGTATTTCTATTTTGAATTTTGAACCAGGATGTTAATTTTTATATACTATTCTAAATCTGCAACACAAAGCTCATAATCCTGCTGCTAATCTGTGTTCTGTAAAATATTTGCTTTCTTGCTTACTATTTATTTGATTTGTTTATATTAATTTGAACTAATAAAAAAAGATGAAGATGGAAACTATTAAAAATTTGCTATATATGTGTATGATTTAAAGAAAAAAGATAAAATTAAAATTGCAAGTGATAAAGCAAAGCAAGACCAAAAGATATATTATAGAAAATATGCATATAAATATAATATAGATTAAATTAAAAAACAGAAAGTAATATTAAAAGCTATATAAAAAATTTGTTAATGATGTTTATAATATAAAAAATAAAAACTAAATTTATAAAGAACTAAATGAAGCAAAGCCAGAAAATATATAAAGATTGTAATTTATGCACTTTTTTATTTAGATTTAAGGCTAATCTTGTATATTAAGTAATGAATTATTTTATTTTATTAATAAAAAAGAGTAAATTTAAAAATTTCAATTTGATTTTTTACTAATCAAATTATCAGTTATTAGAATATTATATGGGTGACGCCAAGAGAAAACCAGGAATACTAAAAATAGACTTCCATCCACAGCGAAGTTGCGGGGTTTTTTAATCGGTCAATGTAATAACATCGTGTTATTACATTGACCGATTAAAAAACCCCGCAACTTCGCTGTGGATGGAAGTCTATTTTTAGAATTCCTGGTTTTCTCTTGGCGGCACCCATATTATGATCATATTATCCGTTATATTTAATTATTAGTTAGCTGTATAGGTAGTGAGGTCACCCATATATGCAAGTTGCAATTTCTAGTCAAGTATTATACAGTTATAATAAAAGATTACAGTAAAAGAATTTATAATCATTTCTAAATTTAGATTATATCAGTGTAATTGTGAAACATAATTAGGGCTTCTGTCGTAGATGTATATAATTATCAGTAAGGTGCAAAGGTGTAAAGTTTGAAATGAGGCCAAGAGATATAATGTACAAAAAAAAGTAATATAAATTAGGTTTGAAAAAGTCTAAGTGAAGCAAAGCCAAGAGCCATATTAATAAATTTGTCAATAGCATTTATAATGTAAAAAACAAAATATGAGGTCGAGACCGCAAGCATTAAAATCCTAAAAAAAATTAATTTTGACTTTCTTACTAAAATAAAAATATCAAATTATCAGTAATTGGTAACATCGTGTTATTTCCTCATCATCTGCTATATCGAATTATTATTGTAGCTGAAATGGGCGGCGAAGCCGCCCGCATGTACAATTTCTAGTTTAAAAAAATAAGGTTAAACTGTATTTAAATTAACACAATCAAAATATTGAATAGATCCTATATTTTAAAAAACCACATCAAATAATTGTTTATGTAGATTGATTCTTCGCTTTAATTTAGGTCGTGTATTGTTTTTTTTTCTTATGGTCAATATGTTTCAAGCAATAATCGATTTTTGTTACATATACTTTTACAACTTTTACATTACAGCTAATCGATGTCAAATAATAATATTGACACCCGTTTTATATATATAGTTGCAAACGTTAAAGTCAATATCAATTTAATAAAGATTTCATTTAGGGTCTTAGGGTGCATCTTTTGTTGCGCAAACGTTTAGTTTATGATTAAATGATGTTGGTTGTTATTTTATTTTTTAGCTTTACAAGTTTTTTCTATTGCATTTCTAATATCAATTCAAAATTACTTAATTCATGTTATACAATTAGTGTAAATAAGTTGATTTGACTTTAAGATTGTCTTATTCTATATTTATTTTGGGTAAATATTTTCTTTTTTTTTTGTTGTAAAAAATAATAATAAATAAAATTCGAAGGTTATAGGTCAGAACATCATGTGAATGCAAATATAAAGAAATATAAATAAAATACGCTGATAGCAATTGACCAATCAAAACTTGCATTAATGCAAGTTTTAATTGATCAATTGATATATAAATACAGTTAAATCAGGTGTAACGTAAAAATGAAATTTTTTACGTTAATTAAAAAATCACATTTTATGACTTTATAAGTGTTCTTTGCGAATTATGCGAGCGCGCTATCTAAGCTCTTTCGTCATTACACAAAAGACTCATAACGACCGCACAGGTGGAATTGCATGCATTTCTCAATTACGCAAGACAATCAAGTGTAACATTATCGCATAATTATACGCATTTGGCATATATAACGGATGACTTTTAGAATTCACCTATTATGCATATTTCATGAGTTATATAATATATAATTAAACGATGAATATTGAAAGTGACTTGGAAAACTTAAAGCTACCTTATTTTGAAATCAATCAACTTAAAGTTATTAAGAGAATTGGAAGTGGAGCGTTTGCAGATGTGTACCAAGCAGAATTAACAAACTCGAATTTAAAAAATTTAACATGTGTTGCATTGAAGGTCTTCAGGCCATTTGAAGAATCCGAGACTCCTCGAGAAGCTATACTTAAAGAGGTGAAAATGGTCAAATTTACATATATTATGTTAAAGCAAATTAGATGTAATTTTAATGTATAATTTAATATTTAATAAACTCATCTAGATTGCATCGCATAGAAAAGTGGGTGCAGATGATATGGTCATACAAATCTATGGATTCACTAAAATGAAAGGTTATATTACCATTAATTGATTTCTGGATTAAACATTCATTAATTCTAAACAATAATGTTTTTAATTATAAATATCATCTAGTCAGTGTATATGATTCTGAATTGAGTTATGCGTTAGTATTAGAATTTGCAGATAACGGTACACTAAGGAATTATTTACGGAAAAATTCTGACCTCAGTTGGTCCAATAAGTTTCGCCTCGGTCTACAGCTTGCTAAAGCCATTATGCATATGCACTCTAAAAATATTATCCATGGGGATCTTGTAATTAAAATTTTATGATAAGTTTGCATTTTAATATAGTTTAATTGCTTTTGCTATATCTAACACTTATCGTAATACATACAGCACTCAAATAACATATTAGTTCACAAACATAATATTAAGATCGCTGGCTTTGGGTTGTCTAGATGTTTATCTGATGCGTCAAAACCCATTACAGGACTTGCTGGTTATATACCATACATGGATCCTTATGTCCTTAAAAATTCTGAGCAGAAATTACAGATAATAAGTAAGGAGTGTGACGTATACAGCTTAGGTGTACTCTTATGGGAAATATCAAGTTTGCATCCCCCATTTGAGGAAGAAGACAGAAGCGCTCTGTATACTAAGATATTAAATGGTTATAGAGAGTCACCTATTTTAGGAACCCCACCACAATATTCTGCTTTATATACTGGTTAGTTACATATATTATTGCGGATTTGATCTTTATTACCTTTCAAACATTTAAATCATTTATTCTAATCATCTACTAAAGAATGTTGGCAGGATGATCCGAAAAAACGTCCTACCATTGATAAAGTTTTAAATGAACTCAGGTGAATAGTCTTAGAAATTAAAGTTAAAAAATTTTAGTCGATCGGACAATATTTCTAATCGTATTTATATCAAACAGCGGAATGCAAATAACAAGGTATTCGTTGCTAACATCTTTAATGCTATTTTTGCTGAATGTCAGTTTTATAATCAATTTTAGGGAACTGACACTTACTACGAAAATATAACACTCTCAAGTCAGCTATTTGACATAATTACAAGTTCTAAAATAATCAATTGTTTGACAATTGCAGCTCTAAAATTAAAGTTTATGTTATGATTGGTTTAGAACTAGTAATTGTCAAATGGCCGACTCTGGAGGAGGCTATATTACGTAATAAGTGTCAATTCCCTTATAGTCAGTGTTATTTGTCATTTAGAGTGTGTAAGTAAAAGGTTTAACAAATCATCGTTTTATTGTATTTCATAAAATGCAGGCAGTGAGTAATTTTACGACAGTATAAATATTCTTTAAGTCGGCAAAAAATTAAATAGTACTTATTAATTACTTAATAAAATATAAATCTCAACGTTTTATCAGTGATGACAAAAGTGATGGCATTAATGAGACAATTAATCCATCGAATGAAGAAGCGTCGTCCTCCGTACCAATTGATTATGAAGTAACAAAGATCGAAGAAAATCAATTTCGTAGTGCCTTAGAAGCATCAGTAAACTTTGACCCTTTCGCGCCATTAATAGATATATTTTTAAACTTAGGGAAAGAGATTTTAACGTTATATCAAAAGGCAGTACATAATAAACAATTATGTAGTTACTTAACGGAGCGGGTAAATTCTGCTGTAGCAGTTATAAAAGATTTAAAAATTCGAAAACAAGAACACTCGGAATTCTTTGGAAAACAAACAAATCTTCAACTTATAAAGAATTTTATAAAATGTATGCTTGATGTTAGAAAAATCATTACAAATGTTTCACAACTCGGTTCATTTGATGACTTCTTCTTTCAGGCTGGTAATATTGTACAAATGTATAAAGATTTGTCGATTAGGTTTGATGAATACATGGATTCTTTAAATCTTGCAATGAAGAAAATTACATATCAATATCTTCAGCAAAATTTGGATTCCCGAACAGCTAATTTAGAGAATGAAATCAAAATTATTAAGGCAGATTTGGCAGAAATGAAAAAGGTATGATGTTATAAATTTGTTATTCATGTTTATACATAGTGATTACGAAATAATCACATCTATTACACCTATTTTAGTTCATACTTTATATGTCCGATAATAAAACTGGGTCGGTCAAAAACACCTTTATTACAGATATCAAAAGGATTAGAGATTTAAATGTTCGTTTTCAAAGGGAACAACGTAAAGGCATTGAATTCTCAATCGAGGCTCCAACCTTCTCAAATTGTGACGAATACGAACCTATATTTGATTCTGAATCCCATTGTAAAACTATCCATCATAGACGGAACAAAGTATCCCTTTTAGAATATGCATTTAAAGAACTTCCTCATACCTACTACTATGAGCCAACTAAAAAGGAAATTGATCAGCATGTTGCTATTCTGAAAGAATTAAACTATTCAGAACACATTATTAAGTTTTATGGAATAGCACAAACTAGTGATGGATTGAAATCTTATCTGGTGACAGAGTGGATGGAGAATGGTACTTTACAGGAATATTACAAAACACATACATTGGATTGGAATAAAAAATTTGAATTTGCCATTGATATTTGCCGGGGAATTGCCTTTTTAAATGCTATAGAAGTATGTAGAATATTCATTCAATTTACCAAATAATTCTATATCAAATGGTAAATTTTTCTAATTTGTATATTATTTATGCTAACAGATTCTTCATCATGATATCAGAGGTGCAAACATATTAATAAGTAGCAATCACAAGGCTAAAATTGCTAAAATTACCAATTTTTATATAATTCGCAAGCTCAATTATATGAAAAAAACAGTTAAAGTTATTCTCGAGAATGTAAGATATATGGCACCTGAGATGTTAGAACATGGCGATAAACAACCATATACAGTTAAATGTGAAGTTTATAGGTACATATTATTCAAATATTCAAAATATTGTCAATTTACATAATTAAGTTTATTATAATTTGACTAAATATCAAACTTATTATTTTAGTTTAGGAGCACTTTTATGGGAAATTGCTGAAGAAACAATTCCTTATACGAAAGAAGGAATAGATTATCAGACTATTCGAAACCGTGTTGTCAAAGAGAAATATCATGAACCATTTTATTCAGATGTACCTAAAGTTTGGCAAGACATTACATATGCAGGTATTATTATTGCCGTTGGCCATTACCTACAGTTCCTCCAAAATAGCATCCTACCAGATACGACACCCCTTCTTCACAAATGATATCGCTGGATTCGTGAATAGTACTCGGTACTATTCAATTTTAAAATGTTCTTGAATAAGACCCTGGGTACTGTAGGCAGTAGCCAACGGTATTATTTTATTTCTTAAAATTAAATTTTAAAATCACAAATATTTAAAGTATATTAACTTATTTTATATATTTATATTAAAGCTTTAAGTTATGAACCAGATTTTCGTCCAACAATTTCGAAAATAATCACAGTTCTTTATGATTATTACCATAAAGATGAAAAAAGGTCACCTCCATCTATAGATGAATTTGATGATTTTGTAATTGATGGTAGTTTTAAGAATGTGGAGCAAGCAATTGAAGAGTACCGTAAACTCGACGGAAATAAACAAAAAGCATGGGAATGCTTCAACAAATTCGCTGAACAAGGTGATACAACTGCAAAATATTGGGTTGGTTACTATCTATATCATTCTGTCCTTCCTGAGCATAAAGATAATCGTCAAGAAAATCTTCAGTGTGCGGTAAAATTGTTTAAAGAAACAGCTGATTGTGGTAAAGTTGAGGCACAGCTCCGATATGGGTTCTGTTTATGGAAAGGCGATGGTGTTCCGGTCGATTTGGATGAGGCTATGAGATATCTAAAAAAAGCTGCTAATAATGGAAATCCTACGGCTATGTATAATGTTGGAGCTGCTTATTGGCTTGGGAAAGGGATAGTAAAAGATCAGGAAATTGGTTCCAAGTATTTAAAATTGGCTGCTATGAAAAATCAAAATAATGCAATTGCTATATGCAAGAAAGTTGGAATTCCTTTTTAAAATGTTATTTTATTAAAACATTATGTGATTTCCAAATAATTGGTGATTTTTAATACCATATTGACATACGAAATATGAGTATTTATTAAAAGATAATAATTCAAAAAATATGGTCAAATTAAAATTTTCAATTCCTAGAAAACTCGATATATTTACGTGCACAATCAGTGTTTTAGTTTAATTTTTTAAATTTTTTTTATAAACATTATTTTTATTGCTTAACCCTTTAACATTTTGGCATGATCATCTTTGCTATATGACCTTGTATCGTATTATCTTTGTATGTGGTGTGTTTGTCTTTTTCTAATTTCGGCGTGTTGTGTTGCTATCGTGCAGGGATTGACGTGAAAAATTTCCTTCTAAACCCCTAAAAAGGACATTTTTATATAGTCTGTAGATGTACAAGTAGATATTACATCTACATGTCTATTGCATTGAGGGAAAAAAAATTCGGATCATTTAAAACAACTCAAACCCTAATAAAAAGTTACTTATTTGTCAATCCCGTCTAATGTTATGCTTCTATTTTTTGAGGTTTTTTTTAATTGTATACTTTTTTTCAACAGGAGCGACCGTCAAGGTTACACAAATTGCAGATCACTCCCGTGAACCTCCGGTCTTATATTAGCCAATCAAAATCGCGAATTTCGATTATCAATTTTTATAATAAATTAAAAAATAATTATGTAATATTTAAGAAAATAATTATGTAATATTTATTAAGATAATTATATATGTATTTTAAATAAATTTACAATGTAAGAAATATTTTTTTTTTGTTTTCTAATTGATTCTCTATAGTAGTAATATCATCTGTTACTCCTATATTATTCAAGTTATCGTCTTCCGCCTCTTCACTATTCTTATTATCAATTTCGATTTCAACACCTTCTTTAGTCAAATTTATTTTCAATGCCTCGACATTCTTTTTAATTTCTCCTTTAAGATAATCGAGACATATAGCGCATTTAAAATGATTTTTTTGTAAACAAAAACTATGATAACTATGACCGCATGCCAGAATTCTACCATC